CGCGCTCCGCTCTCTGGGCTGCGCCGATCAGCTCAGCGGCCGGCCCGCCCGCGCCCAGGGGCCCCGAGCGGTGGGGCCCGGCTGGCGGCTGAGGTAATGGGGGAGGCAGCGGGGCCAGCGGGGGCGGGGGCAGCAGGCCTTTCGGGGACCGGGACTGCACGGCGTAGGGAGTACGGGGCAAGCGGGTCGCTTCCCCAGTGGGATGAGGGTGGTGCAAAAGCTCTCCCCTGGGGCGGGGGCAGCGGCAGGAAAGAAGAACGAGGCTGAGGGGGGAGCTAAAAAGCAGGGACCCCCTCCCGCAGCCGCCATCTTGTCTACCCCCGCCTCTACAAGCTGAGCTGCTGAGCCCCGCCCCCGTCTCCTTCTTCGATTGGCTAGGACAGAGGAGATTCCCGCCCCTTGAGTCCCCTTTGGTCCCCCGGGTCCCTCTGACAGGCAGATGTAGCAGCCAATAAGCCCTCTCCTCTGCCCCGCTGGTTCGCTGGCGCTCGCTTTCTCTGTGTGAGGGTCGGGCTCCGCGTCAGTCCGTCTACGGTGCGCTAGCCCCCTCCTTTCTGAGGGGATTTTTAATTCCCTCCTTGTTCTTGCTCTAGGGCAAGATTCTTCTGGAGGAGGTGTCCCTTTAAAGGGGCAGGAGCCTCGGCTGGGGCCCTCTCTTAGGAGTGTTTTGTGCGGGGTCTCGGTGGGGTACAATGTAATTGCAGAAACTCCTCGTTCCTTAGGGACCTGGGCGAGGTGGGCGAATCGGTGCGCAGGGGAGGGGATGCCGAGAGCACCCTTGAGGGTAGTTGGAGATTATTTTGGAGGTATGTATGTGGGGAGGGCTGCGAGAGATGAGCTAATCCCGCCAAAAACCTGTCTCGACTGCAAGCGCCTTGAGGGAGCCCTCTTTTCAGTTTCCACAGTTGTAGCACTTCCCTCTGCAGAGTTTGTCTTCATATTCTAAGATTGGGTTGGGGAGAAGAGGTCTTCATAGATGCTGCTGCATGAGAGACACCTGAGATGCAGAGATGGTGGGAAGAAGGAAGGTGGGGTGGTTTTTAGTGAAGGAAAGGGTCAGTTTCTGGCTGCCTGGAAACTATACTTTTGAGATTGTGGTAGAATTTCACACCTGAGTCTCAGTGGCCTTGGGGAAGGATGGGAGCAGTAAAGTAGGTCTTTTGGCGAGGGCTGCCTGAGGGACTTGGCATTTGTAAGACATCTGGTGACCAAGGGCCCTTGGAACCCAGACAGAATTGCTGTGATGATTCTGTTTCCTTTGGCTCAGATTGGGGTGTGTGCCTGTCTGGCGCTGTTCCTTGACCAAATTTCATTTATTTTATTTTTTTTTTAACACAGGCACAGTTTTGAGATTGGAAGCCCTTTTGAATAAGCATGTTAATAGTGGCTTACTAGCAAATAACAACTCTTAAGAGGTAGGTTTTATTACCTTCCATTTAAAAATGAGGTCCAGTGGAAGCAACAAAGCGATTTAAAGATTTTTCTCCATGTTAGATAGGTCCAAGGTTAGAACTAGATTGCCCCAAGACTTCTTACTTCTAGATAGATGTTGGCATCTCTGTGGTGGTCTCATCATGCAAAAGATGAATTGAGCAGATCCAAAAATCTAGGTTTGAATTGTTCAAGGTGCTCTGGTGGCACAGTGGTTGCATGCACAACTGCTAACTGAAAGGCTAGTGGAAAAAAGGAAAAAAAATAAAAAAGACCATTTGCTCCTGTACACTTTGCAGCCTGGGAAACTACGGAGTAGTTCTGCTCTGTCCTATAAGGTCACACTATGAGTTGGAATTGACTTGGTAACCATACCAACAAATAGCAGTTTTGATTTGAACGGTACATTACTTCTATTGAAGTAAATATCTCGAACTATATCAAATTTCTTCAAAATGCATCTTGACTTTTAATAGACTTCAACGTGTTGTTGGGGGACTGGTTTAAAGTTAGTTTTTAAGCTTTAATGTTTCCATGACCTTTTTTTGTATTTGAGGGAGTTCACTGATTTTCATTCAGTCATTCATACACATTTCATTTTGTAACATTAATTACAGTTGATTAATTACAATGCCTGATCATCCTCTTCTTTTATTAATCACCTTTCCCTTCAGTATAAATATAGCTTTCACATGCATTGGGAAATGAGAAAATTATGTGACTTGGTTTACTGTGATGTTTGCTCTTTGCTTTATTGTGGTGGCCTGAGACTAAACCGCAAGCTATTCCTGTACTTGTTTCAAAGCTGATTAGGAGAGGACTTTGTACATGACATTGTGCTAAATTATCACCAAGGTGATGTACTCTGTTTTTTTCCTTGAAGTCTCTTTGTTCACACCCTTCCTAGTCTCTTCGGTTGCCTCAGGGCACCATATCTCTTTTTTTTTTCTTTCTTCCTTTTTCTTGGAAAGACACCATATTTCTTTTCCTGGTGGTGATGGCAGCAGTGACTCACCACAAAACTCATTGCAGACCCTCAAGTGAGTTTTCAAGGCTGTAAATTACATGGGGGAGGGGAGGGGGGAGATTGCCCATATTTTTTCTTGGAGATCTGCTAGTGTAGCCAAATTGCCGGAGAAGTGCAGCCTTTGGGCTAACACCCTACCAATTAGGCTATCAGAGCTCCCAGCCAATCACAAGCCTTATTAAACGTTGACAAAGAATGAGAGCTGCACAAGGGTAAACAATATACATGCATTTTAGAAGTATAGGATTTTTTTATGTCACAGAATACATTGAGACTTCCCCTCAAATGCTACCCTAATCTCCTTGACCTTGAGTCCAATGTTATGTGCAAGTTGACTACAACTTGCAGCCTTTAACCTACCCCTTGAACAACAGATCTGAACTTTGCCCTGTTCTGCCCCTCCCTCAAGATCTCTAACATACTCAATGTATCTGTCCGTCTTGTGCAGGGTCTTTTTCTGACCCCCTACTTTTCCCAGCCTGTCTTTTTCCAAGTACTGGTCCAATGCTGATAACATGCCTAACACGGGTAAGACAAAGTTTCACCATCCTTTCCTCTAAGGAGCTTCCTGGTTGCACTTCCTCTAAGATGGACTTGGTCTTTTGGTGGTCAGTGAGATAGTCAGTACTCTACTACCACCCCAGTTCAAAGGCATTGATTCTTTTTCCATTATCTTTATTCATTGCTCAACTTTCAGATGCATAGGAAGCCTTTGAAAATACCATGGCCTGCTTTAATAAAACTTAAATCCTTATTCTTTTGTCCAGTGAGAGTTCCAGAAAGGCCATTTACAACTTCAGAGGCTTCTTGGGGCCATTCTCAGAGTTTCCTAGGTTTCTACAGAGTGAATTCTGTGTTCTACTCTGTGAACCCTAACCACCCTTTTCCATGGCTGGCTCTTTCACAGCCTCATTAGACATTATTACTATCTTATCAGCTACCATAGCGCCAGCACTCAGCTTATGGCATCCTCATGCACAGTGGGATCTGCCTGATGTAATCCCTAGATTATCATTGACTGATTTACAGAAGTAAATCATTCAGTATTTCTTCATAGTCTGTCTTAGGCTAGATGCTCTGATGAAACCTTTTCAGCATTGTAGCAGGCAGTGGCTGCATTTCAAGTATACTGGCTGAGAATTGAACCTGGGCCTCCCACACAGGAGGCAAGAATCCCTGCCCTCCATGTACATCAAGGGAACTTTAGATTTCTTCCTATTGTATTAAAATTATCTACTTACCTCTGTTTCCCTCCAGTCATTGTGAGAACTCAGAGAGTGCAGCAGGGTTCATATGGAAAGCAGCTGTGCCAACTCCTTTATCACCAGTGTTGACAAGGATCACGTGTGCTAGATTTCTCTTTTCATTCAACAGATAAGTGCTAACTTTTGAGCTAGCCACTATTCCAGTCATTTGGCACCTATTAGTAGACACGATAAGCAGGCATCCCTGGTCTCGTGGGGTTTATAGTTTAGTGGAAGGACAAAAATGATAAACGTTATAAATAGGCAAATTATGTGGTATGACAAAAATTGGTGCCACAGGAAGTAAGGATTTGTACTAAGAGTACTCAGAGAAGGTGTCACTGAGACTTGGTATTTATGGAAAGACTTGAAAAAAAATGAAGAAGCAAATGATGTGGGTTTCTGTGGGACAAGTTATTCAGACAAAGGTAACAGTCCATCCTCTTGTGCACTCGATGAGATGGAAGGTGAATGGGTATGTGTGTGCATTAACGTCTAGCTCACAGTCTCGTGGTCTTCTCCCCATAGGCGTGCTCTGTTGGTTCCCAGGTGCCATGAGGAAGCCACGCAAGAAGTCACGGCAGAATGCCGAGGGCCGACGCTCCCCGTCCCCATACAGCCTCAAGTGCTCTCCCACACGAGAGACTCTGACCTATGCCCAGGCCCAGCGGATTGTTGAAGTGGACATTGATGGCCGCCTGCATCGCATCAGTATCTATGACCCCCTGAAGATCATCACGGAGGATGAGCTGACTGCTCAGGATATCACGGAATGCAATAGTAACAAGGAAAACAGTGAGCAGCCCCAGTTCCCTGGCAAGTCCAAAAAACCCTCATCCAAAGGCAAGAAGAAAGAATCTTGTTCCAAGCATGCATCTGGCACCTCCTTTCACCTCCCGCAGCCCAGCTTTCGCATGGTGGACTCAGCCAACCAGCCGGAGGCCCCTCCTTTGCCTACTGCCTACTACAGGTACATTGAGAAGCCACCTGAAGACCTGGATGCAGAGGTAGAGTATGACATGGATGAGGAAGACCTTGCCTGGCTTGACATGGTGAATGAGAAACGACGGGTAGATGGGCATAGTTTTGTGTCAGCAGACACCTTTGAGCTGCTAATGGACAGGCTTGAGAAAGAGTCCTACTTAGAGAGCCGCAGCAGTGGAGCCCAGCAGTCACTCATCGATGAAGATGCCTTTTGCTGTGTCTGCCTGGATGATGAATGCCACAATAGCAATGTCATTCTGTTTTGTGACATTTGCAACCTGGCTGTGCACCAGGAGTGCTATGGTGTTCCTTACATCCCTGAGGGCCAGTGGCTTTGCCGCTGCTGTCTGCAGTCCCCCTCTCGGCCTGTGGATTGCGTTCTGTGTCCTAACAAGGGCGGCGCCTTCAAACAGACCAGCGATGGGCACTGGGCCCATGTGGTATGCGCCATCTGGATCCCTGAAGTCTGCTTTGCTAACACCGTGTTCCTGGAGCCCATTGAGGGCATTGACAACATCCCACCTGCACGCTGGAAATTAACATGTTATATCTGCAAGCAGAAGGGGCTGGGTGCAGCCATCCAGTGCCATAAAGTGAACTGCTACACGGCCTTTCATGTGACATGTGCACAGCGGGCTGGGCTCTTCATGAAGATCGAGCCCATGCGGGAGACTAGCCTCAATGGCACAATCTTCACAGTGCGCAAGACGGCCTACTGTGAGGCCCACTCACCACCAAGTGCCACCACTGCAAGAAGAAAGGGTGACTCCCCCGGAAGCCATAGCGAAGCTGTGGGTGAAGAAGGACTAAAGGAGGGTGGTGGGGAAGAGGAAGAAGATGAAAAAGAGGTGGAAGATGAAGAGGAAGAAGGCCAAGGTGGGGTGGGACCTCCTAAGGGAATATCTAAGAAGAACAAGATAAGTCTGAAACAAAAGATCAAGAAGGAACCAGAAGAAGTGGGCCGGGACACACCCTCCATGGTCCCAATGGTCACTGTACCACAGATCCCCTCCTACAGGTGAGCCTGCCCACATGGGCACCCCATAGACTGATGGTGGCTTTGGCTGGCACTGGCCCGGGGTCAAACTTCCACCCCCAAGCATGATTGGTAAATGTCATTTCTCTGCTCCCAAATTTGAACTTCTTTAGACCCTGGACTTGCCTGACCCAATTTTGGTTTTGATGGTGCCTTCAATGTAATGTTACCTTTAATTTAAGAATAGTTGGGTTGCTTAGAAACCCTCGTTACAAGATAATCTGAGATAATACTTTTCAACAGGGGCACCAGTGGCATTCTGGGCAGGATAATTCTTCATTTTTAGGGACCAAGCCACACATTTACAGATATTTAGCATTCCTGATATTTTTCTATAAATGCTAGTTGCATCCATTTCCCTATTACTTAGTCTTTGTGATAACCTCAGGTTGTCTACACATGTTTCCAAAAACCCAGAAGGGAGTGCTACTACTCTCAGTTCATAATCACATTTTAGGTGGTCAGTTGCTATCCAAAAAACTGTGTCTTGAGTATGATGAGGACTTTGTAAGGGAGGAGAAGGGAAATGGACATAGAATTTCTATCCTTGAGAACCTTAAAGATCAAGTCTTAACCTGTGTAACTAAGCCATTTGGTTCTGTGGAGAGAATTATATGTGGGTTAAACTATCAGAAAGGTAATTTAAACAATTGAAATGACTAGAACCTGAAAGAGAGGCAAGAGAAAGGGAAGATTTCCCAGCAGAGGCTCCTGGTAAGTGTGATGCTTATAAAAAAAATGTACAGTGTTAGTGCAGTAAAGAATCCTGGAGATTATTCATCTAATGTAGTCCTTACACCTTCTTCCACACCCCCAGATGAAGAAACTGCAGTCACAGGAGGTAAAGTTGTTCACCCCTTTATTCGTTCAATGAGTGTTTATTGAGCACTTAATATATGCCAAGTTCTGTTCTAAAGGCTGAGACCAGATGGAAAGTGATAGACTCTATACTCCAGCTGAAGCTCACTGAGTTCTGTATCTTCAGTTTTTCCAATTGAAAGAAATCAGAAGAAAGGAGTACTGGAGGGTAGTAGGGAATGAGTTGTGTCAGGGGAACAGGTAATCAGACTTTCCGTTCTGGGGAGAAGACACAAGTAGAGAAGATCCCTGGAATGACTTGGAATTGTAGTGACTTGGAATTTATCTTTTCATCGTAGAACTTTTCTAGGCTACTCTTTTCCTAAAGAAGGTGGGTTTAATGGGTGGTTTTGCCAGTGGTTAAACTTTTTGCTTGTCATGTCTCTGCTTCTAGATGTTTTTTCCTTAGCATTCTGGTCAAGAGCCAGAAAAACCTGGGTTTGAATCCCACTCCTATTATTTCCTGTGTATCTTTGGCAACTTATATAATCTCTGTGAGTTTTTATTTATAAATGAATCTACCAGATAAGGTTGTTTTAAGTAATAAATGAGATAAGTAAAGCACTTAGCACATTGCCTGGCAAATAGTAAGTGCTCAATAAATGGAGGCTACTGCTGTTGCTGCTATTTTTTTATTCTTTTCCCTACCTGCACAAATGCTATTGGGGCCCTCAATGACCAAGAGTTTGTAGAGGGGAGGGGGCTGCCTGCATCTGGACAGGTGTGCTTGGCATGGGCATTGGTGGGGGGATCTGTCCTTTGGGGAAAGGCTTAGGCTTAGGCCTTAATTTTGTAAGCTTGGCTCTGGGGTAAGAATGTCTGACTGGAGAAGAGCAAGGTCTGTGGGAGCAATATTTAGCCAAACATACCTATTCTGAGGCCTCACCTTGGCAAGGCTTACCTCCCTTTCAGTGTGTGGGATAAATAGAAAAGGTAGAATACCACAGGAGTACCTAGGCTTCGTTTTGAGACAGAGTGTGGAATGGTGGAAAAATCCTGTATTCATAACCTGTCCATTCTACCATTTGGTTAGATGCATAACTTTGCTAGTTTTTTCAGCCTCTGTCCCCAGGCTTCCTTTCCATCTTTTATACCTTCAAAATAATGTTGCCCACCTTGCAGTGTGGGTGTTCAGATAGAGATCAGAAATTGTCATTAAATCTCTTCCTACTCTTTGTTCTTCCTTCAGATGTGACCAGCTTAAGTCCTGACCTTAAGACATGGACTTCTTTTTCAGGGTGCAAGCTGTGTTTTCAGATTGGCCCCCCCCCCCAAATATCCATTTTTGCCTCCACCATTTGGTTCAAATAGAGATTTTTCTTTTAAATGGGAAAACCAGAGGTCAAATGGCTCAGGAATTGCATTTGCCCTCCCATTGACTTACCTTCCACAAAGATTATGGACTGTCCTCTGGTCTGGTGGTATCCTCAGATGAAGGGGACAGGAAGTTGTGACCACATTACCCGTAGCTTATTCAAGTTCCTGTTGCCTTTGGCTGCTTTTTTTCAAGAGGAGAGTGTGGTAATGGGACACAGACCTATTTCATAGCCAGTACCTAGAACTAAGGAATCAAGAGACCACAGAAAATTGAGTTTCTGGGAGTGGTTCATTTTTTTTGAGAATCAGGACTACCAGGCAGGAGACGAAATCTTACATAGAATCTGAGCTGCTTAATCAACCTTGCTGTCCTTTCCAAACCTATGTTTGAGGTGAAGCATTTGGTCACTTAATTCTTTCTACCTCTGTCTGGTTCAGAAATGAGCTAGGGTCTGGGTAGGAGCATAGGCTCTAATTTGAACTGCCCACTGACCCTCTCCTTAACTTTCCTACTCAAGGTTGAACAAGATCTGTAGTGGTCTCTCCTTTCAGAGGAAAAATCAGTTCATGCAGCGGCTTCACAACTACTGGCTATTGAAGCGGCAGGCACGAAATGGTGTGCCCCTCATCCGGCGCCTACACTCCCACCTGCAGTCCCAAAGGAATGCTGAGCAGGTAGGTGAAGCAGTTGAGGCTGAGGAGAGAGGTGGAGAATGAAGGAGAAGGGGAGATGGTTGGTGTGACTTTGAGCTCTTCAAGAAGCTTTTGCCTATAGGTGAAATTAAAAATGGAGGTGCCCTCTCTGTAAGAGATCTCCTCCAGGAATGCCCGTCAGCACTGTAGATTGCCTTGTTGGTGCTGAGGCTGTTGTGGGGCACCTTAGAGACCTTCACAGTAGGCAGCAGGACCTTCTGGAGGAGAGAGGAAATCTGGAGCAAATTCTGAGGCAGAATTGAGGGCAAGCCAAACTTCCATTTATGTTGGCATTTATGAAGACCATCTTGATGTGGCAGAAAGGGAGATAAGGTGGGATGAATGAGAGCCAGTGCTATCACATTGTGTGAATTAGGAAAGGGCTCTTTTCGTCCACACTTTTATTGCCCCCTACTTAATGGTTTGTATTAAGTAAGAAATACATTGTCTGTTATTGTACACAGCTCGAGCAATCATGGCCTCATACGAGGATGTCCATCTTGCCCGTGACAACTTGAATTTAATGAATGGTGTTTTTCAAGATGATAGAGGCCTCCATAACATTCCATTTTAACATCATTAATTCTTTCTTCCTTTTCATTTACTGTTACTTCCATCTTTAAGCATCTCCACAGCACTTTTCCTGAGCTGAAACGAGACTGCAACTCTAATGCCCGTACTTACTGTTGTTATGTTCCTAGTCAGAACCAACTCATGGCTGACCCTCTAGCAGGTTTTCGGAGATTGTCAATCGCACAGGATTGCCCATCTGTCTTCTTTGAAGTAGCCTTTCGGTTGGCAGTCCAACTCCTTATCACTAATAGAGACTCAGTCAAGGCACAGGTGGTATTTACTGGACAGCCTCTACTCGCACAAGCATATCCAGGATGCAAGTGCCCCATGATGGTATAATCAAGCAGCTTATAAAGGGGAGATTGAGGCAGCGTGGAGAAGAATTAGGAGAGGTATATTGTCAAAGACTTTCACAAAGGCAAGGAGTTTGTTTCCGGAATAGTTTCAGTCATCATTCCAGTTGCCAGGTACAAGGGAGCAGAGAAGGTTATTCTTGTAAGTTTGGGTTGTTAAATGTAAGGGAGAGAAGGATAGTTTATACTTAGGAGAAGAAGTCAGGTTCCCAAGCCAGGTTTTCACGCCTCTCAGCTACTAGGCCACCAGAGAGCTCTGTGAGCCCTTAGAGCTGTAACTCCCTGAAATACATGTCTATAATCAGTTCCTCCTCTAGCCTTTTTTGTTTTCTTCTGTCATGAAGCCACCCCTAGAACATCTGTGCCCTCCTCTTAGCCCAGTGAATTGCTGTTCATTGGATTCCATTTGACACCATAGATTACATTGTTTAATTGTTCTGTGACACCATTTTCTACTGCCTGCTCGTTTGCTTGTCCATTTTTAGTTTTGAGTAACTGTGGCAGTAGTTCCAGACCTTTTTTGTCTTTCTTCTCTTCACTCCTTTTTTTCTACCCTATCTTGTTATGTCCTGTTCAGTCAGAACCAACTCATCACTGACCCTCGAGTGACTTTTCAGAGGCAGAAAATCACTGGGGAGGGCATTGCCCATCTTTCTTCTACAAAGCAGCTGGTAGATTTGAACTGTGTACTTTTGGTACTAAGCCATCAGAGCTCCCTTTTCTACCCTCAGTCTCCTAGAATACTTCCAGTGAATGTTACAATACAGAAATAGTGGAAACTGACTATTCTCAATAAACTTGTTTAGCCATTACTGCCATAGACCTTTCTCCCTCCTGAGCTCATCCCTTTCCCATTTTGGAGTGGTTTTGATTCTTCCGTGCATAATGGGCCACAGTTAATCACCCCTATGGTATTTTGAAGGTGCCTTGGTGGTGTAGTCCATAAAGCATTGTATTGCATTGCTAACCCAAAAGGCCGCACTCCTCTGACATTTCCAGTTCACCATCAGCTCCCGAGGAGAAAGCTGGGCAATCTCCCATGTGATAAGATACACAGCCTAGGAAAACCGCCAGAGGGTCAACTGTGAGTTGGTTTTCTCTTGACTGCAATGAGAGAGAAGCTGTTTCAGGAGATGTATCAATATTTAGCCCTTTATTTCCAAAAACCCCTATGAGACATAATTCTACTCTGCAATGAGAGAGAAGCTATTTCAGGAGATTTATCAATATTTGGCCCTTTATTTCCAAAAACCCCTGTGAGACATAATTCTACTCTGATGTACATTAATTCTTCATGAGTTGGCATCTACTCAACATCAGCAGTTTTGGCATTTTTTTTTCCATTCTACAGCTACCCTGATCACCGAGGTCCCCTTGATTTGTTTTAGTAGTACCTTTCTAGGTGCTCTCTAGCCTCTAATTTTAATTTGTAGTCTTACTCATACACTATTTCCCACCATGCCTCTACCTTTTCCAAAATATACTCCTAATTTCAGTCAAGAGGAACCCTGGTGGTTCAATGGTTAAAGAGCTTGGCTGCTAACTGAAAGATGAACAGTTCAAACCTACTAATCCTAAGGAGAAAGATGTTGCAGTTTGCTTCCATACAGATTTACAGTATTGGAAACTCTGGGGCAGTTGAGCTCTGTTCTATGGTCATAGTGAGTCTGAATCCACTCGGTGGCAATAGTTTTGGTTGTATAAGCAGTCTAAGTGTGGCTTTATTGCCCTGTCATTTGAGATTCTTGTTAAGTGGGTCCTGGACCAACTTTCCTGGCCTTTGTGGTTCTCTAGCTTCTCTCTCTGGCCAGTGATTTTACTCACTGTACAACCTGAATAGGATTGCTCTCCCCAGAATGACAATCCTGGCCTAGCCCCACCCATTTAAATGGTCACTTTTATATATTTCCTGTTTTTATTGTTTTCTTACTAATATGCCCTTGTGCTTCAGAGCTTGGCTCTCCTCCTTCCTCCAGATATACTGTAAACTGTTCCAGGATAGAAATCAAGTTTGTTGCTGCTGTTTTACCAAACTTGGAACCTCTTTTTGTTTTCTAGCCAAGTTTATGGCCCTAGGGTGAAATATTTTCTACCCTTGAGGTGTCTATTAGTTTCTTTCTGAAATTCTATCCAGCCCGGAGGGATACAGCTATTGAATCCCCCAGGTGTAAGAGAAGCAATCTCAGTTCCCATTCCAGCCATAATTATTATGTGGCAATGAAGAAACATTGTTCTAAGGCTGTGGAAGTTCAGGAAGAAGGTGTCCAGGTGGAGACATGGTGGAGAGGCCCTCCGAAAGGTGGGAGTCAAGGAAGGGGAAGAGAGGCTGCTCCATGCCTGGACCTCATGAGGCTTGAACTCTTTCCCTGGCTTTTCTGCAGCGAGAGCATGATGAGAAAACAAGTGCAGTGAAGGAAGAACTGAAATATTGGCAGAAACTCCGGCATGACTTGGAGCGGGCACGGCTGCTGATTGAGCTAATTCGGAAGAGAGAGAAGCTCAAGAGGGAGCAGGTAAGGAGGGCTCCGAGCCCCAGCCAGGTGTCAGTTTTCTTTCCCTCTCCTTGCCAAGTGCTGTGGGCTCTACAGCTTGCCTGCTGTGCATTGGGTATGATGCAATTGACAGCTCCCACCTTTTGGAACTACGTTTATCTGGTGGCTTTGAGCATAAATCACACATGCTTGGCTCACCCCTGGAGTTTTCTCTGGTTCACAGTTAGCTTGCTGAGGAGTACTCTGAAAAGGACATTGGGCCGTTCTGACAGATATTGCCCATTGAGAGCCTCTGGCCTGTGAGCTTCTAAGGGTTTGTGTAGACCCTGAAATGGTCTGGAGTGGTTTAAATTTTCACCTCTCTGCTCTGGGAGAGTCTAAGCTGCTAAGGGCAGGAAATGCTATAATAGTTTAATGTAGGAGTTAGGAGTGTGGATTGTGGTATCAGAATCCTGGCAGCTTAAATACTGGCTCTGTCATTTACTACATGTATGAAGTGGAACAAGTTATTTAGTCTCTGTATTCCCCAGTTTCCTCATCTATAAGAACAATAACAGGATCCCGACTATGGAGTGATTGTAGTAGTTGATGATTTAGTAAAGGCTTTCCTTGGAGATTTTGTTGGTTTGGTTTCAGACCACTACAATAAAGCAAATACTACAAAAAGTGAGTCATGAAATTTTGGTTTCACAATTCATATAAAAGTTATATTTACTACACTATACTGTATTCTATTATTGGGTAATAGACTAAGTGTTGGTCTTTGAACCAAAAAGTTAACAATTCAAATCCACCTAACTGCTTCTCAAGAGAAAGATGAAATGGCTTGTTCTCATTAAGATTTATTTAAAAAAACCTTAGAAACTGGACATTAGGATCATCTTGAGTCAAAATTGATCTGTGATGGTGGGTTTAATCTAGTAATTATGCAATTGCCTAATTAAAAACTTTGTAATAGGAAAATTACCAAAATGTGACACAGAGACATGAAGTGAGCATATGCTGTTGGGAAAATATTACCAAAAGATTTACACATTGCAAAGTTGCCATGAACCTTCAATATGTTAAAAACATTCTGTGGAATATGATAAAGAGCTTTGACTAGTCCCTCACACATTGTCAGGGCTTTATAAACGTTAGTGATTATTATGCTCACCGTCATCATCATTGTTGAGACACTGCCTCTTTGAAGTGCCTGCTTTGGTGCTTTGCACATGGCAGAGAGTAAATACTATTAATTGAATAGATGCCAAGCAAACACTGTTCTTTCTGTTTTAGGAGTAGCAGCTGTTATTCCCATGTGCCAGGGACCCGGGTTAATGATGTTCCTGTCTCTTCAAACCCCACTTTACAGTTCAGCTTCAGCTTGAACACTTCCCTAGGAGGCTGCCAGTTTGAGTTCCCACCTCTGAGCTTGGGCAGCTCTCACTACACTTGACATAGATAGCCATGGGGGACCTTTTACACAGATTCAGACTGAGTCGTTCTGGTCTCACCTCACAGCTGAGCCTCTCTTCCTCCTCCTCATTCAGAGAAGTGAAGAGAAGAAAGAAGCCATGGTCACCAGAAGTAGACAGGCTTATTTTGATGTAGTTGCACCAGGAACTTTTCATGATCCAATTCATGGTTTCCTAACCATTTCACCTAAGGGCACATACAGAAAATGGAATTTGTATCACATGCTGGTATAAAGAAAGGAGACTGCATGCCACTTAAAGAGTTGAGCCCAGAGACTCTGGTCATCTAAGCCAGACACCCAAAGGCTGATGGGATCAGCAAATATCCCACACGTGTGGGAAATTCTGATCCAGTGCATATTTTGTAGCATCAGTGCATTATTAGGTGTTGGTCAGAGTTGGGATCAAAATGCTCTATTCTTTCTTAGCTCAGTGAAGTTAACCTAGTGAATGACTCCTTACATAATTTCTAAACCTCATAGTCGTCATTCATAAAACTAGAATAGTAAGAATTTCACCTTCAAGGGTGTTGTGATGGGAAAGTTAAGTAATATAAATAGGGAGGCCCTACTTATATTGTGGAGCTCTGGTGGGCTAGTAATAAGAAGCTGTGATGCAATCCTAAAGGCACACAGTACAAATTCATCAGCTGCTCCGTGAGAGAAAGATGGACAATCTCTTGCCATGCAGTTAACTGCCTCAGAAAACCCACTGGAGGATCAGTTATGGGTTGGTTCCATACACAGCAATGACACAACATATATTTTGGGGAGTTCTGATGGCATAATGGTAAGAAGCTGTATTGCAATCCCAAAGGCGTTGAGGTTCAGATCTACCAGCTGCTCTACGGGAGCGTGGACAATACAGTGTGATTTACTGCCTCTGAAACCCACTGGAGGGTCAGCTATGTGCTGGTTCCGACTCAGTGGTAGCACTTATATTGCAGCAAACTTGGGTGTCTTTGTGTTAAGGAGCTGCACCGCTAACCGAAAGGCATGAGATTTTAATCCACTTGTTGCTCCATGGGAAAAAATAATCAATTTACTGCCTCTGAAAAGGGTCAGCTATGCGTTAGTTCCAACTTGACAGTACACAACAATGGTTAATATTGTGGAACCAGACTTGTGGATACATCCCAACCCTACCTCTTTATTAGGGAGCTCTGGCGGCCTAGTGGTAAAAAGATGTGCTGCAGTCCCAAAGGCATCCAGTTCCAATCCACCAGCTGCTTCACAGGAGAAGGATGGGTGACTAAATCCTCCTGTGCAGTTAACTGCCTCTGAAAACCCACCAGAGGGTTAGCTACGGGTCGGGTCTGACTCGACAGGACACACAATAATGTTAGCTGAGTGACCTTGGCCTAGTTACTTAGTCTCTTTGTGTCTCAGTATTCTTTTATACCTTAGCTGCATCTACTTAGTTAATAATGTGTAAAACGCTGAGAACATAGTGGCAGTAAGTGTTATTAGAGTGCTGCTAATAATAATACTGATAATTATTTTATTTACTGCAGTTTTTGGTGTGTTGCTTGATACATAGGAAACATTCACAAAATTGTAACAGTTGATGATCATTATTCCAAAGGTCAGAGCTAGGTGATGGATAGCTCCTCACACCCTTGTCATTTTATAGCCTAAGAAATTTCTTGTACATGATGAGTGGAAATTATCAAGAAGAAATTTCAGTGCTGCTTTGCAGGGGTGTCTTGACCTCTCCCTGCCTTTCTCCACAGGTGAAAGTCCAGCAGGCTGCCATGGAGCTGGAACTGATGCCATTCAATGTTTTGTTGAGGACAACGCTGGACCTACTCCAGGAGAAGGATCCTGCGCACATCTTTGCTGAGCCTGTTAACCTGAGCGAGGCAAGTTTATTCCCATTTTCTGAGCGGTAAACTCTTTCTGAAGTGGAAACAGGTTTTGAGTAGGCCAGGAGGGGATTGGGCCACAGTATACAGAAAGTTTGGCAAGACTTAGGAGACCCATGGTAGAAGGGCTTTGTACTTCAGGGGCCAGTCTGTTGTTGCCCAAGCCACTGGGCTTTTGAGAAAGCCTGACATGACCAAACCAGAAAATGGGGAGACAAAGAGTGCCTGTGAAGGGTGCACCCTGTTTGGCTAGTAAATGGTTGTTGTAATTGTACAGGTTTTATATGTTTAGGTTCCAGATTACCTGGAATTCATATCCAAGCCAATGGATTTTTCTACTATGAGGCGGAAGCTGGATTCCCACCTGTATCGCACCTTGGAAGAGTTTGAGGAGGACTTTAACCTTATAGTTACCAACTGCATGAAGTATAATGCTAAAGACACAATTTTCCACCGAGCAGCTGTCCGTCTGCGGGACCTAGGAGGGGCCGTCTTGCGGCATGCCCGGCGGCAGGCAGAGACCATCGGCTATGACCCTGAAAGGGGCATCCATCTGCCTGAGTCACCCAAATTGGAAGACTTTTACCGCTTCTCCTGGGAAGACGGTGAGAAGTGTGCATGGGTAGGGTGGAGCAGAGCCAGGAGGAGGCACAGAGCCCAGCAAGCCAGGGATCAGGATGGGTCTTAGGACTATTGAGTATATTTGGGAGCTACTTTGGAGCAAAGTTGAGGTGCCTACAGGCTAGGGTAAACCTATTTGTGACTGGAATAGTTCTAAGATTTAAAATTTAACTGATGTATTTAGCACTTGTTGCATGGTAGGAAAGGGAATCAGGTCCTTCTCTGTTTGAAAAGCTGAAGCCTCACTAGGAGTGAGTCTTCCTCTCCTGGCCCTCCTTTGTGGAATTGGTACATGGGCAGAGAGTGCACGGTGCCTGTATGTATCTGGCACATTCAGAAGGGTAGAGGTCAGAGACCTGAGAAATGGAATTGCCTCTGAGCCCTGTGCTCTGCCTGCCTCTGCTCTCCACTTCTTGATGGCGGCAGCGAAAAAGTCACTCAGGTTGGGGGATTGCCATGCAACCTCATGCCTGATCCAGTAGTGACTGAACTGTTTCCTGCAGCTGCTTCCCAAATTCTGACCTTATCCCTATGTCTGCCCTCTGGGCAGTGGTCTTGTTGGCTGCCCTCTGGGCAGTGGTCTTGTTGTTGTGTGCCATCAAGTCACCTGCGGCTCATAGCAACCCTGTGTATAACAGCTCTGAACCCAGCCCTATTCTGAGCCAACCTTTCTGTCTCTGACACACCTCCTCCCATTACCCCAGTCACTGAGTCAATCCATCTCATTGAGGGGCAGTGGTATTATTTGATCTGGAGGATTTGACCCCTTCCCTGGAGGAACACTCTTCCACTTTGTACATAACTCTTGCGTGGAAGCAGGAGTGGCATCCACTTCTTAACCCCCATGTTTCTGGAAACTCTATGAACTTGGAGAAAGGATGATAGTTATGGAAAGGCATTAGGTCTTTTGTTCATAGAGTCTCTATGAGTTGTGCTCAACTCGAGGGCAGTCAATAACCACCACCACCTAGCCTGGGCTGGACAGGTCTTTCAGCCCTTTCTGTCCTCCCTTCTCCCTGGCAGTGGACAACATCCTCAACCCAGAGAACCGGGCCCATTTGTCCTCAGAGGTGCAGCTGAAGGAGCTGCTGGATAAACTGGACCTGGTGAGTGCCATGAGGTCCAGTGGGGCTCGGACACGGCGTGTCCGCCTGCTCCACCGGGAAATCAACGCCATCCGGCAGAAGCTGGCACAACCACCACCACCATCGCCACTGCTGCCAGTGAACAAGACTGTGCTCAATGGGGAACTACCAGCAGGGCCCCGCGGGGATGCTGCTGTGCTAGAACAGGCCCTGCAGGAGGAGCCAGAAGACAGTGGGGACAGAGGTGAGAGACTTCACAAGCAGACCGGATCTCTGGGAGGACTAAGGAGTTAAGGGCCCACCTGAAATCCCAGGGTAGAGGCATCCTTCCCCAATTCTTGGATCTGACACTTTTGGGCAAGCAAAAGCCCTTTAGGGAAGGGTCACACTTCAATATATGTATACTTAAGATGTAATGTTCAGAATATTTAACTACCAGTTGAGACTAAATCTTTATTAGTCAACATAGATGTTGGCTGTTGTATTGGATAAATCTCTAAGTGATGCAGCTAGTTAATACAATTGACAGCTAACTGAAAGGTTGAGTGTTTGAGTCCATCCAGAAGTATCTCAGGAGAAAGGATTGGCTATCTACTTGCGAAAAGTCAGCCATTAGGAAAGTCTGTGGAGCATACTTCTACTCTGACCCACATGGGATCACTGTAATAAATTCAAGTAGACTCAGGTGCTGGGGACCAGCAGTTATTAACCAAGAATTATTTCAGTGTTTTGCACCTGTTACGCTAGATGTAGGAAACTCTGGTTGCCTAGTGTTGGCAGCTGCAGTGCTAACTCTGAGGCTCACAGTTCAAATCCACCACCTGCCCCGTAGGAAAAAGCTGGGCAGCCTCCTCCTGTGCTATTTACAGTCTCTGAAAACCCACTGGAGTGTCAGCTGTAGGTCTGTTCCGACGCAACAGCCTATTCATATAATGCCAACATATGCCATACATATGTATCATCAGTTAAATATCAACCTGATTTATACCATGATGTAGAAAGACCCTCAGGGCATTCTGTATGGGCTGGGGGAGATAGCAGAGAAGGGTAATCTGGGCTCTTGAGCTACCTCATGGTTTGACCCTCTCAGGCTGAGTCTATAGGTCCATCCCAAGAGAGAGGCCAGGCTACACAAGTTAGTTTAGGGGACTGCTTTTGCCAGAGACTCAGGCCTTATGAGGCAAGATGCTTCTAATTTTCCGTATGCTTGCTGGAGGCAGAATGGTCTCTCATACTAGCCTTTGGGATGGCCTCCTTTCTACACAATCAGGTTGGCAACTATTTCCAGAGGATAGAGACTCACATAACCCATTTATTTTTGGTTGGCAAAAAAAGGAGAAATTCTTAAGAGATTGCACTTAACATTGGGGGACTTTGTGCCAATAATGATCTTGTTAGGCTCCCATGTTATAGTATGCCAGGTGTATCTTCCCCTCACCAGGACCCTAGCAGTGCAGTCAGAGCCAGTGGACCAGCTGCAGTGGCATCATCAAAGGGTTTTTAAAAGAAATTTCACTACTCAGAGATTCAGACTGGCATTGGTACTTTTGAAAGTGTCCTTGGTGATTCTAATAGATAGAGTTGAGTAATAGGTAGAGTTGAGAACTCCTAGTGAAGTTAAACTTCATCCCACATCACTTCTATCCCAAGACCTGGGATACATTTCAAGCCTTATGACAACCCTTGCTTTTTTGTCCTTGGTTATTGATGTTGATAAGTGGTTTGTAGGGGCAGGCTCTTTGTAAAATGTTCAAGTAGGTTCTCTTTTTCTCTAACAGATGACTCCAAGCTTCCTCCCCCACCAACCCTGGAGCCCACTGGGCCTGCACCGTCTCTGTCTGAGCAGGACTCTCCCCCAGAACCCCCTACTCTAAAACCCATCAATGATAGCAAACCTCCAAGCCATCTCCTAAAGCCCAGAAAATTGGAAGATGACGAGCTTTTGGAAAAATCACCTCTGCAGTTAGGGAGCGAGCCCTTGCAACGCCTCCTCAGTGACAATGGCCTCAACAGACTCTCCCTCACATCCCCTGATACCACCACTGGTGCCCCTGTCAGTGGTGTGGGCCGCCGCACCTCAGTCCTCTTCAGGAAGGCCAAGAATGGAGTCAAGTTGCAGAGGAGCCCAGAGCGAGCTCTGGAGAATGGCGAGGACCATGGTGTGGCGGGCTCTCCTGCCTCTCCAAGCAGCGTTGAGGATGAGCAGCTCTCCCGGAAGCGGCCACGCAGTCGGAGCTGTAGTGAGAGCGAAGGAGAAAGGTCCCCCCAGCAGGAGGAAGAGACAGGTGATCCCGCCTGCAACTTCTCATCCGCTTTCCTGCTTTGCCTTGCCAATCAGCACCTTCCCCATCGACCAGCTCCGTAATGGCCCCTGCAGACTTCAGTAGCAGCATTGAGGGTTCCATAGCTCACATTTGGGCCTGATTCTGGGAAATAGGCTTTGAACAAATATTTTTGAATGGCTAGATATGTATTGGGGGTTCTTTGGTCTTGTGGGGCATACAAAGCTAAATACCGTAAAATGGATCCTATCTTTTTGTTTCAGTTCATTTATCAAGTACTTAATTGAGCACCTATTAATATTATCAGGCACTCTTCCTGAGTGGGGAAAAAACAAAACAAAACAATGAGCAAAACAAATATTTCTTATGAAGGAGGCAGCTTATAAGCAAATGAGTCAATTATATACTAAAAGCAAATCCAAGGAGGGAGCCTTTTGGGTGTGTGGAGGACAAATGTTCCAAAAAGATGGAGTGACAAATGCACAGGCCATGGGGGGGGGGGGAGAGGAGATGTCCCTGCATATCTCAGGAACAGTGAGGGGACCATTGTGGCAGCAGCCAAGTGAATAAGGAGGTGGCAGATAAAACCACATAGGTAGTTATGAGGGCTCCATCTCTTTTTGGAGTCCTTCATGTCTAGCATGAGTTATTCATAGGGGCTATTAAAGCAGAGTTCATTTCCAGAAGAGTCCACAGTTCATTGTAGAAACTGGATGGTCTCCTAAGATTCAGAGCCATCATAGTGCTGGGCAGCTTGTGATTGTGTGTAACATGTGACTGGGCTTGTTCAGAGGGTATTAACTGGAGGAATTGGGAAGGTTTCACGAGGAGGTGGCACTTACGCTGTGCCGAGGGATGATAAAAAGACTGGCAAAAGACTCTGGCTTGGGTGTTTATAAATGAGGAGGAAAGACAGTCTCTGAAGGGAACAGTGAGAAGATGAACTACCCAAGCAGTTCAGGATCCCACACTGGGTGGGCAGGTGGGCCTAGATGGGAGGACCTCTAATGCTGGGCAGAGCAGTTTTGTCTTGGTGGGATAGAGAAGGCCAGCTTGCTTAATGAGGAGGGGCTGCTCTTGGCTTTTGCTCCTTGTCCCTCTCAAGGTCCATTTATGCGGTGGCTTTGGGCTGTGAGTCTAGCATTTGCTTTTCTATCTTTCTGTGTTAATACTGTATTTCTAACAATACCTTCCATTCCTTCTGGACCAAGCTCCCTAGTAGGATAGTGCACTGGTACATGAAGGCTAGTGGGTGAGGCCTGAAGTTGGGGAGAGTTGCATTAAAATCCCAGTCTCCTTATCACCTGTGTATCCTGAGTTAATTAACCTCTGAGATTTTCCTAGCTCTAATAGCGGGCTAGGAGCCTGATAGCAAAATGGTTAAGTGACTGCTAACTGAAAGACTGGCAGTTTGAACCCACAAGCAGTTACATGGGAAAAAGTTGTGGCAGTCTACTCACCCCCTTTAATGACTGCCATGCAAAAGCCCCGTTGGACAAAACTTCCTCATGTGTCTTATAGGGTCTTTATGTGTTAGAATCAATTTGAAGACAATGGATTTGGTGTTAATATGGGACTAGTTTTCTAAAAATTAGAAATCCCTTAGATAAAGCACTTGACAGTTTAAAAAACCTGAAACCATTGCCATCAGGTTGAAACCAACTCATAGTTGACCCTCCAGTGGGTTTTCTGAGGCTGTGGATTGCATGGCACATGATTCCTCAGAGTCACTGGTCATTCAGATGCACCAACACCTTTGGGTTAGCAGTCCAACCCCTCCTATAGACTACATTGCTAAGAGCCCCCTCTGTTGAATTAAAATTGGTTTACTATTATGCACTCCTTTTGGTTGACCTTTGCCATCAGATCAGCTCTGATGTAGCAGTAGATGCAATTTATCATCCTCAGTTTTACCAAGTTCAGCCATACAGCACTAAAATCATTTATGAAGTCTTGCCCTTGGGGAATAGTCCCAGACCTTAGGCCCCTCCACCCTGAGGAGGTCTACTGCTAGGAGGTACTGCTAGAATTTATTCCCCTTCTGCTGTCCCAGTTGCCTTGCCTCCAGAAATACATCTGTGGAGCCTTAGTTGAGTCTCACAAAAACATGTTACTCTGTTGCCGAGAGACACCTGAGGCAGGACTGCCTTCAGTGACAAGCCAGTCATTTTAGAGGCAGAGCCGGGCTTGAATATAAACATCTTGGCTGGGACACTCGACAGCTGTAACTTGCCTTGGGTTTTCTGCCCAGGATGTCTGAAACGTGTCTAGTGCCTAACACATTTCCATACCTCTTGGCTCAGCTGTCAGATTTATAGGCCTATAGAGTGTGTGGTTAGGAGTTGATTGAGTACAGAAAAGACAGAAACCTTCCTAACAAGGTGAAGTTCATTTACCTAGGCTGATCAGTCTTCATTTGCCTCTGAAGGGCCCCCTGCTGTAAACAGACCTTTTCTCATTCATATTTTAATAGCCTCCTCCACAAGGAAGAGTATTATTTTCATTATCTTTACTAAAGGGGAAAAAAACCAACAGTTTAAAGAGGAAAAGGACATACCCTGGGTTATAAACTTTATTCAGAACCCAGCCTAGGCCTCAGGGAATTCTGACTGCCCATCCTAGGAAGGTCTGCTGAAAAGTTTCACCTGCATCTTTGACTAGCCCTGCTTGATACCGAAGGGTGTAATTGGCCCACCCTTATCCTACCCCACCCTCTCCTGACTTCATCCCAAAAGAAAGGATCTGGTTGTTGCGGCTGTGTGATAGATAGGGTGTGTGAGTTTATCTGAAGAGGCAAAGTGGGTGGGCTCCTAAAGTGGCAACAGAAGCTGATAATTGAGGCTTAAAATGAACAGCAGTTCCAGGGCCATGTGAGCCAATGGTGAACTAAGAGCTACGTTTTCCTTAATGGGAAACCAGAGGGATGGGAAGGAAAATACAGTGTCTGCTCATTCCTCAGCCAATAGTATTTCCAAAACCAACAGTGTCATTTTATCCAACACCCAGGACTCCGTTAGAGTAGGGCCAGGAACTGTATACATCTACCTTCCCTGAACACCAACACCATCAACATCACCACTATCCCTATTCCCCCCACCCCTCCCCCAAAAAGCATCTTCACCAAATTACAGTGTCTGTCAGGGGGAAGGGAGTTTCTGCACTCAGGCTTACTCTGTGTATCCTTGGCAGGTGTGACCAATGGCTTTGGAAAACACACCACCGAAAGCGGGTCTGACTCCGAGTGTAGTTTGAGTCTCAGTGGTGGACTGGCACTTGAAACCTGCAGGTAAGAGACCACTTGTCCTCAGAGCCTTGTCTGCCACTCCACCATCTTCTCCCTTTATTTTCTGCGTACCCACCAGTCCAGCCTCTGCCTGCTTGTCTCCATTTTTTTCCCTATCCCACCCCTGTTGTTTCCTGAGACCTCTGTAACTTGAGGAGCTCCTGGGAATGGGGTGGCTTTTGACACTCAGACCTGATCCCATTAGGATCAGAGGAGCAGCTGATATTTATAGGTTTTATGAATTTGGGTTCTTGACGTAAGGGAACAATAGCTTTCCTACACCCGGTGAGGCTAATGTGTGAGCCACTCTCCCATATTCTTTCACCCTTTGATGCTTCTTGGCAGTGACAGCTTAAGAGGCACATAAGAAATGAGTACAGAGGAAATATGGAAGTGCCTATTCCAACAGACATTCCCAGCTCTTCTACTCTTGAGCTAAGAACAGCTAGGTGGTTTATTTTTATTTTTCATTCTGTTACCTGAAGGATTTCTGAGATCTTTAATGTTTCTTCCAAGTCCAAGAGTTTATGGATCCCTTCAGTGTTTTGTGCTGTGCAAGACAATAAGAGGGAGTCTTGGAAGCATGGAAAATGACTTATCCTGACAACTGACCCTAGGACCCCTTCACATGGCTGCTGACTGGGTTCTGGGTTCAGAATAGGGGAGGAAGGGCACCCCTTTAAAATGCGAGCTGTCTGTGTTTAAAGTATGTCTAGAGAGGGATAGGCTTCGTGGTTCACGTGTGTTCTGCTGGGGATTTAGTTGGCTCTAGCTGCTGGGCTCCTGGTTGACTGCTCTGCAGGAGGCCCCCTGCGACCCCTGGGGCAGCCCTGGCCCCAGCTGTTAGCATCCAGCTTGCAATGGGTCCTTAGATCTTCCTTTCTTCCACACTTCAGAGTTGTCTTCGCTTTCATCCTCCCTGCTATAGCCTCTAGAGCTATTTGAGTAGTGAATGGGGGGAAACCTCCCCTCCCCCTAAGATTTTTAATTCATTTACTCTGATTTAACTCCTGGTGATTTTTATATTCTTCCAGTGATCCCTATGCATACATAAATTTAGTCTTATGTATATGTAGGAATCACCTGGGGATGTTATTAAAATGTAGATTTGGGTTCAGTGTATCTGGAGTGGAAATGCAAATTTTTAGAAAGGGATCAGATGAGAATGAACTGGTTTGAAGCCTTGAAAAAAAAAAATAAGCAATTATCAGGCATTGGGAAGAGAAAAAAAGACTCCAGATTATAAAATTTTTCTCACCTGGTTCTGGATTGGCGATCCTGGGCCCTCCTGAATCCCTTCAAAGACACCACCAAGTGCCTGGAAGTGCAGGTTAGGTTGAGGGTGAGGCGTGGTATGTTTATCAAACTATCTTCTTGGCCCTTAACTGAAGGGAAGAGTAGGGAACTCTGGTGACTCAGGAGTGAGAAGGTGCGCTGCAGTCCCGAAGGCACAGTTCGAATCCCCCAGCTGCTTCACCTGAGAAAGATGGGTAATCTCTTCCCATTCAATTAACTGCCTCTGAAAACACAGGGGAGGGTCTACTATGGGTCACATAACAACAACAAAGGGTGGAGCATGTGTTGGTCCCTCCTTCCATGAAAGATTCCCCCTCCCCCACCCCGTTGTGTTTTATTCCCAGAAATCAGTAGTGCACAGACCTAGGTGATACCTCATCCTATTTTAGTCAAACTTCTCAGCTTATCATTTCATATAACAGTATTATTATTTGGTTCTGCTTAATGTAAGACACTAAAATGTACAGCCCTTCATAGTAACTCTAACTGCCTTTTACTGAATACAGTCCTTGCTGTGTTCTCTACTGTGTGCTATTCTGTATTAACTCAGTAAATTTCACAACAGCCTGTGGAGAACTCGGGCCTGGGAGAGGCTAAGTGACTTGCTCACAGTCACAGCTAGAGTAGAACTGGCTTTTGAACTCTCCCTCCCTCCCTCTCTCTCTCTCTTTCTCTTTCTCTCTCTTTATCTCTCTCCCTCCCTCCCTCCCTCCCTCTCTCATCTTCCCCATATCGATGATGAGAAGTTTGCCTTATAAAAGAAGTCTCAGAAAATCTGAATCCAGTGCCAGCTTTTTGTAGATTGAGTAGGAACCGCATCCAGAATGTGAGTGGAATATCTTTTGGTTTTGTGTTTTCCCTCCCAACCAGAGCTTTGAACCAACTCACTCTGATTCAGCTACCTGCTGAGAATTTGTATTTCCACACCAGATACACTGAATCAGATTCTACATTTTCATAAAAAAACACCTGAGGATCTTAATAATCTGTAGATTCTGATTCAGTATATAAGGTAGAAATGCAAGTTATCATCAGGAGGTTGAACTGGATTGAACCTGTTAGAAGCCCTAATTTTCCCAACAGGAAAAAAATCCTCCCACTTTAACTACTGGTTATTGAAGGATTATGATTCATTGGGTCCTGGTTAAACAAGGTTTTCTGCTTATGATCATGTTAAGGCAGTTATGATTCAGTAAAATAGGAGTACTCTTTAACCAGTTCTAACCCCATCTTCTTCCTATCCTAAGGATTTCTTAAGCATTCCTACTCTTCTGCCAATAAGTTACCCTATCTTATTGTTTTATCTTTATAGCCTAAAAATACTATTAATAACATTTGTTAGAACCTGATTATAAAAGCATACATTCTTATTGTAGTAAAAACTTGGGAAATTAGTCCTTTCATACTTCATTTATTGAACTGTATTATGGGCAGACAGTATAACTAACACAAGGAACTCTTGTAGTGCAATGATTAAGCACTAGGCTACCAACCAGAAAGGCCAGCAGTTCGAACCTACCAGTAGCCTCTCCAGTCTGCTACTATCCACCTATAAACTTTCCCTATAGTCCAATGAAAATGGATGGGGAAAATCTATGTAGCCTTAGAAATTCTAAGGGGCAGTTGTCCTATCTAGTCACTATGAGCTGGAATCACCTTAGTAGGTTAATAGAGCCTACCTCATAGGATTAATGTACAAATGAAAATTTCTGTACAGAGGTAACTCGTGGTCACTGTGAAGCCGAACACTGTTATACTGAGAAGTCAAATGTGAGAATGGTTACCCATGGCGAACAGTGTTTGGTGGAGCTCCCCAATTAAAACAAGCTTGGAAGGAGGGGTGGCATCCACTTCGGTAATAGCTTGCCTCTGGAAACCCTATGAACCTGGAGAAAGGACGAAAATTTTACATGTGTCCAGGACCTTCCTTCATAGGGTCGCTATGAGTCGCCTACGACTTAACAACAACTTCTCAAAAATGTATTTCCCAAAACAAGATCTACCTATCCTTAAGCATTCTTTTTAGAGAAGAAAAATTTAGAGTAGTAATAACTAAAATCAGAAGTTCTACTCATGCAGCAGTTAAGTCGTTGGCCGCTAACCAGATTTTTGGTGTTTGTAATCCACAAGGTGGTCAGCTATTAAGACCTCACCCTAGAAAACTTTGTGGGACATTTCCGCCATCACAGGGCATCCCTTTAAGTTGAAACTACTTGAAGACACCTATCAACAATATTAAACAAGGCAGCCACATTGTTCTTGCCTCGAGACGCTTACCCATAGTTGTACTTTAAATTTGATGGGAAGCTATTAAAATTACTGATGTCTGTATAGGTCCCAGTTACACCATTACTTTGCTATAACTATTCTCACATTTGCTCATTTGCTTTTAATTTTGTTCCAGGATTTTTATTTTCTTGCATTATCCATGGCTTTTTTTGTGGGTCAGGGAGAATATTGAGAGAAAAGTTTGAGGGAGGGGATAGGTGTTCAGATTGAGGAAGTAAGAAGCACTCATAGAAATGTCAGGAAATATTTTATATCTAAAAATTTATTTCTAAAGAAGAAATTGAGTGAAATAGGGAGTAAAGACTTCTAGGCTGTCCTTCTTGTGACCAGGCTGTTAGGCTCTGAAAGTATTGGCGTATGAGTAAGATTGCAAGGACACAAAGTCCAAAGCTTAGGGAATTTCCTTCCAAGCGTAGGTCTTTCCTGTGGATGAAGTAGTTCCTCAGAGATGTGATATAGAGTGGTGTGAATATATAGGGAAAGATAAGAAACCATCCTCTGCAGGCTTTTTGCAGCATTTTATTTCTATCAGAAATAGAAGAGAAAGAGTAAGTTTGTTTGTTGAGGTTGCTCACTTCCTTTCCCTGTCGGTGCTCTGTATGCAGTGGTCTGACTACTCCAAAACGAAGCCGTGGGAAGCCAGCCTTGTCCCGAGTACCCTTCTTAGAAGGTGTGAATGGAGACTCTGACTACAATGATTCAGGTGAGGCATGGGATTCAGGTTGGGGCAGAACGTTGGAGGAGCCAGCTCTTTGGGCTCTGTTGAGGCTCAGAATGAAAGTATCCAGTCTCTGAGTTCTTCCAAACCCTTTGGCACTGGACAGGAAGCTCTCTCTTCCTCCCAACTCATTAATAGTATTTTTTAAAAATTCATCTTTAATCTGAGCAGGTTGTACATGCCCATAGTAATAAATCAAAAGATACAAAAGACTATAGACTGAAAATTGCACTTTCCTCTGTTAACAGTGTCACCAGCAACTATGTTTAGTCGTTTCTTCTGTTTTTCAGAGGTGATCTATACATGTTATTTTTGTTAGGTTTCATAGAGTTGATTCTCTTAGCAACCCTGTGTACAACAGATCAGAGCTCTGCCTGACCTATGCACGAGCTGAAGTGTGTATTTATAAGTGAGAGAGTAGCAGAAGCCTAATGCATGTATGCTACTCTAAACCATACCTTTTATTCAGTTGCTAGTGTATCTTGGAGCTTTTCCTGTTGGTACCCATAGAGCTGCCTCCTTCCATTTTATCAGCTGCCTAGTCTTCCATTGTATAGACTTGTCATAATTTACTTAAAGATGAGTATTTCAATTGTTGTCACTTACTTGCAATTACATTCAGTACTTCAGTGAAGATTATTGTACATAGATTGTGTTTTATACACAGGAAGTATATCTATAGCAGTAGAATTATTGTTTTAATAAAAGTGTACGTTTGTAGTTTTGATATTGCCAGTCTTTCTGCCCTCATGATGGCCTACGTATATCAGTAAATTCCACACATAACCTTAGTGGTAGTTTCATGTTAGTCTAATGCTTTCAGCACTCTCTATAAAATATTCTATTCTTGCTGATCCAGATAGTAAACAAGTGGGTCTTATCTGGTTGGGCTAAAGGAATAAAGGGCAGGGCAGGGCCAGATGGGAAGGCCTCGATGGTACTCAGCTGGAGCGGGTGCAGAGTGCGCTGGTCTCTTCTGAGCCCACTCTGTTCAGTCCTCTTGGAGGTGAATGCATTCTGTCGATGCCCTGTCTTAGAAGCTTCTGCCTTAGACTTCAGTCCTTCTCTTTCCTCCTTTCCTATTCCCGGCTGCTTTCTTTTCTCTTACCATGTTTTTTCCTTGTGCGTGTGTGTTAATGAATGCATGCCTTGAATGTTTCATTACTGTCTGTGCCTGTCAGCTCCTAGAAGGCAGGGTTTATGCCTCAAAGAGTTTGTATAGCATCCAGCACAAGTTTGGAAGTAGATGTACACATGCTTGTGCTTCTGGTGGTGACGTTTTATTCATAAAAAGTTTTTCCTTACGATTGAAATGGTGCCAGAGGAAATTTTAAAAAGAATTTGTCCTTCCACAGTCCCACTTTAACACCTTCATCTTCTGTTTTTTTCTGTTTACTTTAGACACATTTTTAACAAAATGCTAATTCAAAACACTTGCACATGTGTATCTTTTTGTATTTACACATCTTTCTCATTTTATTATAGTAGTACAACTTTGAATCTGTGCATTATAAATTAATTAACCCTTCAACTGCTAAATTTATTATTATTCCCTATTTTTAACATAATATGGTGACCTATATTTTTGTTAAAAATCGTTTTATTTGTTTCTAAAGTTACTTTTCTTAGAATAAATTCTCAGGAAAGAAATTTACAAGAGCAGATGGTTCATACTTTTTTTTTTTAATGGCTTTTGGTACCTACTGCCAAATTACATTCTGAAAGGACTGGATTGTCTGCACTTTCATCAGCTTGAATGATTACACCAGCTTCCCTGCATCTATCTCTACAATATTAGATTTTTATATTTTTATTGTTGATGTTGACCCAAGAGGTATAAAAGATTTTAGGTCATTTCAAAAATCAAGATGTATTTTTAATACATTTTAAATGAGAGTGGTAATGTTTCTTTAGAAACATAACGTCAGCTCTTTGGGCTGTTTTCTTCTTTTGGGAGTAGTCACTTCCTTGGGCGGGGACAGAGAGGATCCTCTCTGTTCAAAAGCATTGGGGCAGCGCCCTTCACAGGTGCTAGTGCAGTAGGCAGATGAAGTCAGCTTCAGAGAGTCTGACAGAAACAAGACCTGCAGACCTGAACTTGCCTAACTCTGAGCACTGTGCATCCAGGTGACTTGGAATGACCAGGTGATAATTTATTTGCCAAATAGTTTTTCTGGATGCCCATTCCAGGCTTCTCTGTCCAAGAAAAAGCCATCATCAAGAGTTCCCACATAGAACCAGAGAGCAGTATGTGGCTTTGCCCAAGCTGGATCTTACTCCATACCTCAGGAGCCCAGGTGTTAACATAGTAATATTTTTCTAGGAAAGCCATCTAGTCCAGAGTATTCTTCCATAAGTTTAGAATGATACTGGAGTTGAGAGACTCTGTGGCTTGCAAGACCTGAACTATCTCAAATCTGGCCCTTTACAGGAAAAGTTAACCCCTGATCTAGTCTGAGGACCTCTCCTAAGGAAAGGGCAAGGGAGAGGAAGGGTGGAGGGCATGTTACTGACTCATTCCTGGGCTGCCCCATACAAATAGAGGCCACAGCTAGGCCTCTGGACACCATTCCAAGTCCCCTTTGGGCACTGTCTCCTCCCCTCCCCAACCCCCAGGCAGAAGCCTCCTGATGCCCTTTGAAGACCGCGGAGACCTGGAGCCCCTGGAGCTGGTGTGGGCCAAGTGCAGAGGCTACCCCTCCTACCCCGCCTTGGTGAGTCTGCCCCAGACGCCACCCTCCTGCCTCCCATGGGCGGTTCTGGTTCTTGCTTTGCCTCAGGGGCTTATCTGATTGGATCAAGCCAGCAGAGTGGTGGGAGTCACATTGCCATCAGCTTCAGCTTCAAAAGGGAGGGAGATTTACCTCAGCCTGGGTGGGTCAAACTAACAAGGCTCTCATTTTAGAGTTCTTGAAATAGTATTAGAATTTTCTTAGGGTTTTATTAGCATTTAATTTGCATATACATAAAGTAATATGTGCTTGTTGTTTCTGAGAATTTTTAAAGTTACTATCAAATGCTTTTATCTTCAACATCCGTTATGCTAAAATATTTCAAATACTAAAGAAGATACATTGTTGTTGCCTTTGTCTCATAACATCCAATATACAGCAGCCCAAACCCTGCTCTATCTTGTGCCAATCTTATTGTCTCTGACACACCTATAGTTGTTCTCGTTTTTTGTTTTTTGTTTTTATAAGAAAGAAAACAATTCATTACCTGTGGTCAACCAGCTAAAAGTGACCAGGTTAGAATTTGAGCCTACAATTTAACTGATGTCGAATCCTATGCACTGAGCCACTAAATCAGAAATCAAGCACAGCCCTTTCTAATCAGGGATCACTTACTTGGCTTTATGTCCACTCAGGCTTTATTAAATGCATAAATATACACCTTGAGAGGCTTTACCTGGATATTTTAACCTGTTTCACTTGATAACATATCGTGAGCATGAGTGTGTTATGCCATTAAACATTCTTGTCAACATCACTCTTAATGACCACATTGTCCTCGGTTGTATGCTTGTACTGTATTTAACCATTCTTTCATTGGTTGTTTAAATTGTTTTGAATTTTTTAACTGTGATAGGCAGCCAGCAGTAAGCATCCTTGTAGCTGTACCTTTGTGCACATTTATGATTGTTTCTTTACAGAGGGTTTCTAGACATACCTTCTTGGGAAAATTACACAATATTCTATTGCTTAGATATAAATTCTCAAGTTGCCCTTTAGAGAGAGAATTCTAATTTACCCTTCTCCCAGCAGTAACTGAAAAAGTACATTTCTTCTATGTCTTCACCACCTTGGTGGTTCTTTCTTAGACTCTTTGTGTCCTGAAGAGAGCTCTGTGTGTAGTTCATCGGGAGATGTGCTGCTAACCCAAAGGCTGTACCTCTCTGTGAGAGAAGGATGGGCAATCTCCCCTGTGATTTCCAACTTCAGAAATCAGTGGAGGGTCAGCTATGAGTCAATTCCAATTTGACAATATAAAAAGATCGTGGGTCACATGGCACAGCCATGCCTGACCTTTGCCAGCCTTACAAAGAGGAACTATCCCCATCAACAGCATCAGTAACAAAACCAATTCCCATGAGATCAGACATGTCTCCCACACTCCCGTACCTCTTTCCCACTCTTTTCAACACCAATCTTACTGCTTTGCTGGGTCCAAAATCCCATGTGAGCGATACCTCACAGACCACACAGAATGGCTTGGTGGAGTCAGAAGGTTGTAATCCAGGGTAGTCACTCAATCAGGACAGCTCTTGAAACATGCTTGCAGGCACCTCAGTACAAAGTTCTCACTCTTGTTAGTACTGGCTTTCCATTGTCCAAATAACTTGGACAGAGGCACTTGGCTTAGCTCTGGTTCTATCTGTGAGGGGCAGCAGTCCCAAGGTAGTTCTGTGTCATCTTGGTTCTCTGGTTCAACTATGGCTATTGCTGCCGCAGGTATAACTAGAGCAATAATTTCTGGGCCTGAAGGATATACTACATTCTCCTGCTGCTGCTTCTTTGTTCGTAGGGAAGGTTCCTTTCTGCTACTGGATCACTCAATTTAATTACAAGACTAGCCAAGCCCCTTGTGGATAAGCTCACACAACCTATTCACATATTCCCAGCCATCCACATGGCAAATTCAAGTTCAGTGGTTAGGAAAACCAGATTGAATAGTAAACTCCACAGACAGCAGTGCAGTTTTTTTTTTCTGTACTGGGGAGGTACTATCCATTTAGCTCTGGATTCTGAATCTTTGAAGCAAGTCAGAATAACCTTAGGAAGTTTTAACAACAATATAGAAGCTGAGCCCCCTCCTTAAACAAACAAAAAACCTAGTGTTGAGGAGTCAGTCCACACCAACCCAATGTGGTGAAGTAGAACTGCCTTGTAGCATTTCCAAGGCTGTAATCATTCCCGAAGCCACGTCTTGGTCCTGCAGTGGTTTGTGGATTCTAACTACTGACTTTTTTATTCTAACTACTGAACTCTTTAACCACTGTACTCAGGGCTCTTTCACTTTCACCCTCTAGCTATCAAATTAGACTTTCTGGGCCATATGGAAGCAAGAATAGTTTTTTAAGATTCCCAGTAGTCAAAGCAAAGAAGCACCTTACCTACTTTTGGCATGCATACAGTGTTCTGGCTTCTTTCAGCTCCTTCACATCTGTGACTTTTGTTTCAAATATCAGCCTTTTAAGGTGAAGAGGGACTTTGAGCCTTTTTGAACAGGTCAAGAAACTCTAGCCCTAACAACGTTATACAGCTTGCGGGAGCTAGTATTGGAACCCACGTAACCTGCTGGACTCCTTCCTGAACCTTGCCAGGCAGGGATCTCACACAGGGGCTCCGTCATGTTCCAAGGCTCAGGGTCTGCCATGGGTGAGACCCGGGCAACTTAGCTTAACTCACTCTAATTTACCAAGGATGTGCAGATCTGGTGTGTGGTTGGGTTTTTTGTTTGTTGGTGGTTGTTGGGTGTTTTGGGTTTTTTTTTAAATTCATAAACCTCATGATTTTTTAAAAGACAGTCTAAATAGTTTTAATTTTAATTATCCTCTTAATTATATGTTGGTTGTTTTTTTCAGTATAAAAAAAATGCATTCACCACCTGAACACAACCTATATTTTTATTTTAATGTACATTTTCCCAGTCTTTCTCTTATGTATGCTTAAATGTGTTTATATACATAGTGAATGTATTAGCTTCTTTTTAAAAAAAAATTTTTTTTTATTATTTTTGTGTGAGTGTACCGTCAAATCAGATCTGACTGGTACAGGAGGAGATCGTCCCTCCTTACCTGGCAGAGCATCTGGTGGATTCGAACCATTCGCCTCTGGGATTGTAGTTGCAGCTCCTTGCCACTAGGCCACCAGAGCTCCCCTTGTATTAGCTTCTTAGTCTTTAATTTTATTTTCATAAATTTTTAAAAAATGCTTTTATTTATCCAAATGAAAGCACTTTTGGAAAAATAAAGTACAGTGAGCACACCGTCCCAACATGTCTTGTCTTCTGCAAGCATTATGTCCCTTATTTTTCTTTAGTAGTAATAGTGTGCATATACATTTATTATATAGTGTTTCAAATTATACTAAACACTTTATTTTCATGTTCTTTCATATCTGTATAATAATTCCATTGAGTGAGTGTACCATTGTTTACTATCTTGTGACAGAATTGCTACTGTCTAAAAAGAGGGGCGAGCTCTCCTCACATGGCAGGCTCACTCCCCTAGCTTTTGCCCTCCAGAGATTTTTCAAGAGTCCTTAGCTCCAAGGAAGATGGTCTGGTAGTACAGTGGTTAAAACACTTGACTCACCACTTAGAGCAATCACCTGGAGATCTCCTTAAAATGTAGATTTTTTTAATCAGTGGTGGTGTTTTTTTTGTTTTTTGTACTTTGTATTTTTTTTTAAAATACTGGTTTATTTATAAAGTTCATTTGCTTCACCCACCCTCCTTCACACGTCATATTGTGCAACTCTATGATTAACCACCCCAAGCCCCTGCCTGTCCTCACCCTTCTGCTCTTCCCTTCCCCCCTTTGGATCCTCATACTCATTCTACAGTAATGGTCTTATACAATATTTGTCCTTATGGGACTGAGTTAGTTCACTTAGCATAAAGCTCTACAGTCCCTTCCAAGTTAGGTAGTAATATACAAAATCATTGTTCCTACATGCTGCATGGTATTCCATAATTTCTCAGTCATGTGCCATTAGATCAGAATCCTCCAACAGGTTTTCCAAGGCTGCAAAAGTCTTATGAGACAAGATTGTCCATCTTTGTTCCACAAAGCATCTGATTCCATGTGGTTGAGGTGGAAAAGCGAATTCTTAGCAGAAGGTTGAACTAGTTCAAATCCCTGGACTGACAGGCTAGTTTTGATCAAATCAGACACCAAGAGGTGGGTGGGGTTTTTTCCTTAAAGTCCTAACTTTATATAGGGAAGCTGCTAGACTCCACCAAGTCTCAAGGTAAATAATAATTGCTCTAAGAGGAGGCCCCTGGGGACTCTATCTCTAAAGGAGGTTGCTTCTGTAAATTCCCAAGTCTCTGGCCTTGTGCACAAAGATTACCAGCCAGCTGCCCTGGAAGCGCGCTGTATAGGAGGCAGCAGAGGCCTGAGGCTTGTTCAGGCAGCTGGTTTTAGGCCCAGCCATGGCTTCACCCTGCTACATACATCTTTTTTCTGGGCCTGGTGCTTCCCTTTGTCAGTTAATACCTTCGCTGAAAACTTCCCAGGCAAGAGAGTAAAATGAGAGAGATTATAATGTGTAAATAATTGCGGAGTGGAAGGGTTGGAAACGTTCAGAGTGTTTCATGGAGCAGGAGAATTCTTGCTGGGTTGTGTTGCTAGGATGCTTTTCTGAGTATCTGCTCTGAGCTAGGCAGGGCCTAAGTATCAGGCCTGGGGTATATACTCCACCATATCTCTGGTGTTGGTGGGGAAGTGGAACCCTTTGATTTACCATTGAAGTGTCACAATGTGTCTGATTCACAAACCAGAGAGAATGAGGGACACCAGAAAGGAGTGACCCCTCCTGCTGACTGTCATCATAGCCTAGTGTGCCCCTGAGCATTGGGGGTGAATTGTGACAGTTCCAAAGGGAAATTGGGGAGGATTTCCTGAAAGGGGAAAGAATGATTACCACTGTTCTCCCCTAAGGGCCAGAGGGAGGAAGAGGTTTGCCTAGCTAGCCTAAACATCAGTACTCTCCTCGGTGCTGATGCTACAGGGCTTGGCAGTGTGCAGAGTTTCTCTCACAGAAAAGACTGTTTGGATAGAGCACAAGGATTACTTCTATGAACTGAGCAGATAGTCAAGCTATCTGGCTGGAGATCCTGGAAGAGGTCACCCCCTCCATTATATGGTTGTGGGCATGGCCAGGTTCCAGCCTAGCTTTGGTATGGGGTATCCCAGTGGTTAGTCCTGGGGTTGGATGCCCTGCACAGTCCACCTGTCTCTGCTGAGTGCCCTTCCTTCTCCTTTCCTGTTTGCAGATCATCGATCCCAAGATGCCCCGGGAGGGCCTTCTGCACAATGGTGTCCCCATCCCAGTCCCCCCAATGGATGTGCTGAAGCTGGGCGAGCAGAGACAGGCAGAGGCTGGAGAGAAGCTCTTCCTTGTCCTCTTCTTTGATAACAAGCGCACCTGGTGAGTAGTGAATCTGCCAGGGGTGGCCCTGCACCAGAAGCAGACCAAGGGGCCCAGACGGGGATTCTGTTCAGATGGTTAAGGTGTGCCCTAAATGAGCACAGAAGTGCTGTGAACCTAATTGCTCTAGGCCTCTACCAGGTGAAGCATGGTACAAGCAGCCCCCTGGAAGATTGTGATTTCTAGATGTCACAGATTATATTACTGGGAAACACTTAATTTGTATCTGAGGTTTATTGAGAAGAGCTCTTGAATCAAAACTTGTGCGTGATGAGGAGCACATAGCATGGCACGGGGGAGGATCTGAGACAGGCTTCAGCTGACCCTCTGGGGAGCTCTGGAGCTTGGTGATCCCATAGAGGTGTGGGAATTGGGGTTATGCCTGTGGATTCTTGCATCAGCTAGCACTGAGTGCCAGCTGTCCTGGGAAGGGACCACATAGTGCCCTAGAGAGACTTTGTCAGGAGTTTGTCAGTATTCTTTTTAGTTCAAGAATTGAATGGTCCCTGGGGCTTCTGGACAATTCAGTGAAGTGTCTACTACAAGGCTCATTCGTGGTTTACCAACACCACTTCCTCAGTACCAGGGTGCTAAACACCCAGTGATTTCACTGCTGTTTCTGTAGAATGAGGAGTTGTTATGTACTGTCGAGTCAGAACCAAGTCATGAGTGACTCTCCAGTGGGTTTTCAGAGGCAATAAATCACACAGGAGGAGACTGCCCCTCTGTCTCCTGCAGAGCAGCTGGTGAATGAGTAAAACTTGCCAGTGAAAAAAACTGTGATAATAATAGCAGCAACTGTTGAGTGCTTTGTGTAGTTAGGCTCATTGTTTTATATACATGATCTCATTTAATCCTCAGTTAGATCCTCATTAATTCTCTCACAATCCCTTTTGTAGAAGAGGAAAGCACTCACAAAGCCAGGACCTCAAATCCAGAAGTAGGATACAAGCCAGCATCTGACTCCAAAGGCTGGACACTTTATCTGCACCCTAGATTGACCTGGGGAGCTTTAAAAACACCCACACACTGAAGTGCAGACATCAGTCATTTTGTTGGCTCAACATACGTCCCTGATTCCCCCGGGCAGGATTGAGGCCCAGAGCCTTCCAGGATGGCCTAGCCAGTCCCACAGGGCAGCAGATGAGCCTCTTGCTGCTCCTGGGCCCTCATGTCCTCCAAGCTGAGTGTGTGCTAGGCCACAGAGAACAACCTGGTGCCGGGCAGAGCCCCTGCTGCCCTCCACCCACTGTACAACCTGTTTGGCACACTGGCTTAGCAGGCTCTTGGTGGCCTCTTGCCTGGTGAGCCCTGATCCACCTTCTTGTGCCTTTTCTCAACCCCCAGACCTTGCCAGTCCACGACAGGTTCGTCTCAAAGAGTTCCCTTGTGGAATCTGTCATGGCTCAGGCTTACTGTGGTTCCATTTCAGGCAGTGGCTTCCAAGGGATAAAGTCTTGCCCCTGGGTGTGGAGGACACTGTGGACAAGCTCAAGATGCTGGAAGGCCGCAAGACCAGCATCCGCAAGTCTGTGCAGGTGGCCTACGACCGAGCCATGATCCACCTGAGCCGAGTCCGCGGGCCCCACTCCTTCGTCACTTCCAGCTACTTGTGAGAGCACAGCCTGGCCTGCATCTACCTGCCCTGCCTCCGTCCCGTGGGGCACAGAAAAGCTTCTTGTCCCAGCCAGACATGTGGCCAGCAGCTTCCCCTTTTCATGGCAGACCAGTGACTGGGGCTGTGTCTGCCCAAAGGCTGGGCCCCAGCTTTGACCAACTGCATGGCAGGCCTGCTATGTGCCAAAAACTCCCACCCATGGTCCTTCAAGGGATCACTGGAGGACCAGGTAGAAGTAGAAATAACTGTGGGGCCTGGGTCAAGCTGAGAAGATAAACCTGAACCAGAGGGCAGGCCCCCCGCACCCCACTCCCAGCTGACTCCACCTCAGGGCCAGCGAGGCTCTGACATTGATCCCAGAGGTGCTGTGGATATGCTAGGGTCCCATGGGGAACCTCACTGAGTTCACCGTTGAGCTCACCCTTTCTCTGCCCCGTCATTACCCATTCTCACTCCTCTTCTCTGTCTCATCTTCTGTGTTCTGTCTCTCCCATATCTCTCCTTCCATTTCTTTGCTTCTTTCCTCTTGTGCCAAACTGACAGAAATCATCCCCAAAGTGGTCTTTTTCTTTCATGTTTCATTCCCCTTGAGGGCAGCTACCATACGAGGTGGATGCTTCCAACTGGTTCTTCAAGACTTGAGCACAACCACCTGGGTGGCCCCTTAGCACCCCTCTCCCCTTGCCCATCTCCTTCATAGCTGCTACAGACCCACAGCTTTGAGCATTTGCCCCCTTGGGCTGCAGGTGAGGTCCTTCTTCTTGCTTCTGCCCTTACTGAGGGGTGGGCTGAGGCTGGCTGGGCAGACTAACCAGACCAAACAATGTTAGGAGTGCCCCACTGTCTACTGGATGTTGAGGGATGTTGAGGGTGGCGTTGCTCCATGCCCTTCAGTTGAGTCTTCTGCTCACTCTCCTCCCTTCCTTGCTCTGTGGGCTTTTGTTTTTCTGCACCTGTGTCCTTAGGCCTCACTGCACCACCATGGCTGGCCTGGTGCCTCTGTCAACATAGTCCTGTCCTGCGCTCTGCCTTGCCTAGCCTCTGCTGCTCCCACCTCCAAACTCCAGGGAATGCCGCGCTCTTATTTGAACCCTCTGTCCCTTCCCTTTTCCCTTCTCTCCTTCCCTACTGTCACTGACTCAAAAACAGAAGGTAAGGAAAAAGCAAAGCAAAACTGTGAATAGGGAATGTTGACTAACAAACCAACACAGCTCTCAGAGGCTTGGACGTCTGTTCTCTGGATGTTTCTTTTCACCTCTTAAGCACCAAAGTTGCAGGGTCAGAATGCAGGCCACTGATTGCCATGTTGATTTTTAATCTTTTAACTTTTTTTTTTAATTGTTTGAATTTTTTCATAGGGGAGTTTTGGACAAAATGAAGTCACTGGGGAGATCACTGCCATTTTTATGTGCTCGACTTTTTTAAAAAAAAAAAAATACAACCAACCAACCACCACAACTTCTTACACATTTGGGACACGAGCCAGAGTCTAAAAAAGGAATCCAACAAAACTATCTGCAACATAGAGGATGGGGTTTTGGATTTTGTACAATAATTAAAAATACAATACAGCATATGGCTAGGGAAGGACTTGGTGTATATAATTGTAAAATACTGTTCTAAATTATTCAGGCCCATAGTTTCCATTATTGGAGTCCTCCATTGTGTGACTGGGTATTTTGAATGCACACAGTGTTGTTTATTTAAAGAAGCCAGTGCTTCCACCCTCCCCAGGTAGTTGGTCAGCTGTGGACTTTGTGACCTGTGTCTAAACCTGTGTTTTAAGATCTTGGGCTTTTCAGACCCGCCCCCCTCTATTTCTATGTCTACCTACCCCTTTCTTCCTCTATTTTTCCAGTCTTTCTGACTCTTTCAGTCTCTGAGTCCCATTTTTAAAAATGCTCTTTTAGAACGGGAAATGGCTCAGATCCTGCTGTGGCATGGGGCCTGTGTGTCTCTGTCGCGTCTGCTGTGAAGCACATGATGCTCTATTTATTGTAGAAAGTGACTTTATTTGCTTTCTAGAATTGTTTATAACAGATGGTATAAGAGAGGTAATAAACAGAAAAATCTATGCTTGTAAAGAATACAAAAGTTAATTTTACCTACTATAATATGACTGTCTGAAACTTATTTTCTCTCCGAGAAATAAATGTTCTAATGGGCAGCAGTTGCTGTGCTGTGTTTGGTATTATCCATGGGAGCTCTGGTGACTTAGTACTGAGGACATGAGTTGCCAACCCACAGGAAGATGGTTTGAATCTACCAGCTGCTCCATGGGAGAGAGATGGACAGTCGCCTCCCATGCAATGTAATACCTCTGAAAACCCTCTGGAGAGTCAGCTTTGGGTCAGTCTGACTTGACAGTTCACAACAGTGAGGGCCTGGCCGTCTCTTCAATGTTTAAGCCCATTCCCTCCTCAGGGAGGTAAGTCAAGGGTAGGTAAGGATGGGGTCAGCTGGCTTTTGCAGGTTCTGAGGTGGAGTGGGTACAGACTCCACCTCTTAAACTTCTGTGTAGGGCTTATAAGATTCTCACCACTGGGCCGATTGGCAGCATCATGATAGATAGTGAAGAGATTGATATTGTTCACAGCTTTAATTTGCTTTGCTCCACAATCAACACTTGGTACCAGCAGCCAGGAAATTAGAAGAATTGTTTTGGGAAAGTCTGCTGTCAGAGACCTCTCCAGTGATGTCAGTCTGGAGATTATGGTGCTCCTGATACAGAGTGTGGTCTTTGCAGCTACTTGTTATGCATCAGAGAGCTGGACAATGACTAGGGAGGATAGAAGGAGAATTGATGCCTTTGAGCTGTGGTGCTGGAGAAGAGTATTGACTATACCATGGACTGCTAAGAGAACAAACAGGTTTGTGCTGGAGAGGATGAAACCAAGCTGCAACTTGGAGGCGAGGATTCTGAAGCTTGGTCAGACATACTTTGGGCATGTTGCAAGGAGGGATCAGTCCTTAGAGAGGGACATCATGCCTTGAGAGGGTGGAGGGACAATGCAAGAGAGAAAGACTCTTGATGAGATGGATTGATTCAGTGACTGGGGTAATGGGGGATAGGTGTGTCAGAGACAGTAAGATTGACACATATTAGAGCAGGGTTTAGGGCTGTTGTTTATGGGGTCATTTTGTGTCGCAGGTGACTTGATGGCACATAACAACAAGAAGGGCATACAGATGGGCTCTGACGTTGGCTCCCTCCCAAATAGCACCTCTTCCCTGTGGCCATGTTCCAAAGGGGCATCTGATCCTCATAAGGAAGGAGACAAGGAGGTGGAAGAAGTGGACCTCTGGACATCTCTGGCACCTGTTTATGAACTCTGTCCTCAAGGATCCTCATGCCTCCATTCCATTGTTCTGGTCTCATTCTGTAGGTGGGTAGCTAGGACACAGGTAACAGCCAGCTCCTAGTGAACTAGAGATCCTTGAGCTTGTCTGTCTTCATTTCTCAGGCACCGAAGCACACTCAGTAAGACTTGTCCAAGGTCAGCCAGCTAATGAAAAGCAGCAGAATCCTGGGGCGAGGATTTGGTCAAGGCTTTCCGTGTGTGCTCACAGCCTTTCAGGGCTGTGGTGGCGGATTGCCACCGTCATGCCTCCCTCTCGGTGGTTAGGGCTCTCAGATTTTCAAAAATTGTCATCAGGACTTGAAGCAGTGAGAACTCCCCAGGGACAAACAAAGGCAGTTTCCAGTCAGGCGGGGCTTGGACCTAGAGTTTATTTAAAAGCAATGTAGGCGCTCAAAAGGACTTAAACTCAACAAACTGGGAGGAGGGTAGAGAGAATAGTGCAACAATGAATGAGTGGAAGCCCAAAATCTCTGTAAATGTTTATGAAAATTAATAAAATATAATTATAGAAAAAAAAAACAAAAGGACTTAAACTCTTGAGAAATGTAGGAGCAGGTGATAGGACTGTGGGAGGACCTGGAGGGGACTACTAACACCCACTGAGTTGACAGAGGGTGGCCAAAGACAGAGATGGAGGCTGGGCCTGAGGCAAGCCCTTTCTGTTCAGAGGGTGGGGTGGGGTGAGGACAGATCTTGGGGAGGCCTTCCTGTCCTCTTGGGCCTACTGGCTCATTTCACTGACAGGTCAGAGGTGCTTAACACCACAAAGCAGAAAGAACAATGCGGGTCCAGAACCCAGGACTTTATACCTTTCACATTCAGAATATTCAAGGTGACAACTATCTTGGGGAATTTTACCTAAGCTGTGATTCAAGTCTAAAATGATAAGATACTGTCGCATATGAGGTCACTCCAATAAGGAATAGAGACATTTCTTTTCCTACCAAGTTGAAAAATAGCATTAAAAGCATCTGCCAATAAACCTGGTCAGCCAAGCTGCTTCCACTGATTTATTTGTTGTCATGAACATTTAACGAAAGGCTTTTCAGACAGGCTCTCCTGATTGAGCCAAGCACTGTGCTTTAACTTAAGAGGGCAGTGGTGATGCAACAGGCAAGAAAGCAATGAAAAATACTGCTTATCTTTAATATTTTTTAAAGGAAAAAATATCCTTTTGGTCAAGGGGACCGTTTTGAGGAAAGCCTCCTTACCAAGTTAAATCCTTTCACTGTTGTGGTTTGCTCTCCACCCTGTAATCTATTACCTGAGCATCACTCCCTCCTATTAATGTCATAATAGAAACTTCTGACCTTGTCTCAAGGGAGACCATTCCAGGGAAGAAGGGAAATTCTGTTTTACACTGCTGAGTTACTACCTGATTTTCTCTGAACCACAGACTTTCTTATTTTTCTCTCCCAGTGCTGAAATATTTTCCCCAGAATGACTTAGATAAAGCCAGCAGTGAGCTAATTCAGGCACTCCAAGCCTCAGGAACACATCCTAAGAGAAGAACTTAGGCACAGACACCTCCAGTTGTTCCCTCTTAACAACTTTTAATTCTGCTAAGAACTCTCAAGTGCCATGTGAGTCAGTCACTCCTGTATGATCTAGAGAGCAGCCATCATGTTGCATGAAG